GATTCCCATTCCATCCCCATTTAACTCACCTGTGCAAAAAATGGATGTATTTTGGAGAATGACAGTGGATTATTGTAAATTTAATGAGGTGGCAACTCCAATTGTAGCTCCTGTTTCAGATGTGGTTTCATTTCTTGAGCAAGTACATCTCTTGATACCTGGAATACAACTATTGATCTGACCAATATATTGATTTTAAATCTGGTTTTGAAGGATTACCAGAAGCAGTTTACCTACAACTGGTAAAACCAGCAATATACCTTCACTGTTTTACCTCAGAAATGTATCAAATTTTCAGAATTATGTCATAATTTAGTCTGTAGGGACCTTAGTTGCCTTTACTTTCCACAAGATGTCACACTGGCCTATTACATTGATGATATGTTGACTGGACTTAGTAAGAAGTGTCAGTGATTCTAGACTTATTGGGAAGACATTTGTGTGCTAGAGGGTGGGAAAAATTCAGGTGACTTCTACCTCCATGAAATGTCTAGAGGTCAGTAGTGTGGGCATGTTGAGACATTTCTTTTAAAATGAAGCATAAATTATTGTATCTGACCCCACCCGCAAGTGAAAAGGAGGCACCCCTGGTCTTTGGATTTTGGAGGAAAATATATTTCACTTGGTGTGCTCCTCCTGCCTATTTATCAAGTTTCTCAAAAACAAAAACAAAAAACAACTGCTAGTTTTGGGACCTAGAATAAAAGAAGGCAACTGTGTAAGCCACTCTGCAACTTGGACCACATAATCCAGCAGATCCAAGGGAAGTGTCAGTGGTAGGTAGAAATGCGGGTTGGAGGCTTTGGCAGGTCCTTTTTGGTAAATCACAGCACAGATCTTTAGGATTTTGGAGAAAAGTCCTGCTATTCTGCAGGTAATTATTCTCTCTTTAAGAACCAACTTTTGGCTTGTTACTGGGTCTTCATAGAGACTGAATGGCCTAACCATGGGCGGTCAAGTCATCATGCAACCTGAACTACTCACCATGAACTGAGTGTTGTCTGATCCACAGAGTGATAGTTGGAGATGCACAGCAGCACTCTACCCTTAACAGAAAGTGGCCTGTATGAGATTGGGCTTGAGTAGGACCTGAAGGCACAAATAAACTACATAAGAAAGTGGCCAAAATGTCCATTATCCCCACTCCTGTTACATTCCTTCCCTCTTCTAGTCTGCACCTATGGCCTCATGGAGAAGTTCCCTACGATCTTCTTGACTGAGGAAGAGCAAATGTGTGCCTGGTTTACAGATGTGACTTAAAAGTGGACAGCGGCAACATGGCAGTCCCTTTCTAGGGTCTCCCTGAAAGACAATGGTGGAGGGAAATGCTCTCAGTGAGCAGAACTTCGAGATGTCTGATTATTACTGATTCATGAACTGTGGTCAGTGGTTTGGCTGGATGGCCAGGGACTTGAAGGAACATGTTTGGAACATTAAATTTTTTTTTTTCTCCTTTTCCTTTAATTACTACTTCATTCTCAAAAAAAAATATTAATACAGGTTCAAAAATACGAATTACCACAATACTATAGCTAGAACACCAGTGACTATAAAACCACCAGCAGTAAAGGAAACAATAGCACATGCTTATAGCATGCACAGCCAACCCCACATATTCAAAGCATCATTGTAATGGAGTAATAATGACAACTCTGACCAGAGCACATTAGAAGGTTCAAAAAGTAAATTAGCATAGTTTTAACCTTGCAGGTATATTGATACATGGAAAATGTTTTTGTTGTTATGACTAATTTTAGGATGTTTTTATAAAAATTAATACATTTTGGCTGAAATACTGCACAAAAATGTTATTGACAGTCATTTTGTGTCTCTCTGATATTTATACCTGATATGGTTCATGCCCTCAGTTCCCCACTAGTGATGCCACTTATCCTTTGTACCTGTCCATCGAAACTTCCCTAATACCTACCTCTCCCTATTGTCTTTCACAGTTCCATTTCACCCATTTGCATGAGCTTCTTGGCCTCTGTGGAGTCCTGGTGTGGTGCTGTGGGTTAATGTGTTGGACTGCAAAGTCAGTTTAAACCACAAGGTCAGTGGTTCAACCTCACCAGCCAGATGTTCCTTGGAAACCCTATACAGGGTAGCTATGGGTTGGAACCGACTCAACAGCACATAACAACAATAACTTGGCCCCTGTAGATACTGGCTTTGAGAATTTGTTTGTCTATTCCTCCTTTTCCTTCTACAAAATTGTACTCTTCCTTCTGAAAGGTCCACTGTGCTCTGGGCCCCGTCTTTCTCCTGCATTCCACCTCTGTCCGTCTCTACCACCTCTGCGTGTTTAAGCACACTCAGGAGTGCACCATATTAAAACAAAAGTCTACCCCTTGTAGTTTCCACACTACTCTAACCCTAATAGCTAGCCTCATTGGAAGTTTGGCAATGATTGAATGGACAAATATTGTGTATATATATTTTTTACAATGGAAGAAATAATCTTATCTCCTTGGATGGTCTTATTCATGATGCCTAGTTGATCTCATGATCTCAAAGATTCTTTTTTGACTAAATGACTAAATGGCAGAATGGATGAATACTAAGTCAACAATGACTGTTTTAACGATTTATAATGCCATTATTCTATTTTATCGTAGTGCCTTTTTAATCCTTCATTTTTTATTTTCTCAATTGAATCTAGTAGTTTTTTCTTTCCAAGATGTATAAAATTCAGAATGACCAACCCTTGATGTATAATGAGAACTCAGAAGAGCAGATGCTTATTTGAGTGGATTCGTACATGGCCTCTCTGTAGGCAAACCTTCCCAGGGACCACTAATGTGTTATTGCCAGAGGTTGCTTCCTGAGCCTCTACCAGAACTGAAAATTGGGAAGACTGGCATGGTCTGAGCAGCTGGGGGACATTTGCAACATGAACTGCACTCTGCAGGCTACTGTTGACACATACTAGGAGCTCCCCAACTTAGTGCAAACCTGTGACTGTCTGGCTTCTCTGTTTTGATAGGGGTGAATTGAAATCTACCTTCCATTGTAATGTCTATTTTTAATGCCACACTTTATCTTGATGGTTTGACATGTTTACTGAAATATTGGTAGTATACCTTACTATCATAACAATATGACAGTTATTTTGTGTGTTTGGTAAAATATATATACCATAAAGGAATACTGGTGTGTCATTGTGGGTTAATGAGCTGGGCTACAAAATTGGTTTGAACTGCAAGTTCGGCGGTTCAAGCTCACCAGCTGCTCCTTGGAAACCCTATACAGGGTCGCTATTGGCTGAAACCAACTCCAAGGCACTTAACAACAACAACAACATATACCATAAAATTAGCCATTTTTAAGTGGCTAAATCCAGGGGCATTATTACACTATGAGTGGTCCAAACATCACCACTATTGGTATCCATAGCTTTTCATCATCCAAACAGTAAAATCTGTACTCATGAAGCACTAACTCATTCCTCTCTTCCCCTAGCTCATGGTAATCACAAATTTACTTTCTGTTGTTATGCATTTGTTTGTTCTAGATATTCCATATAAATGGAATTAAACAACATTTGTCTGGCTTATTTCACTTGGTAAAATGGTTTAAAAATTCATCCTTATTATATGTGTATCAGAGCTTTATTCATTCTTATGGCAGAAATTTTAAACTTATTTTTCTATAGTGCACAAAACTTGCCCATTATTAACTACAAATTATTTTTTTAAAAGTTTCTTTAATTTACTCATATTTTCATAGATCCATGAAATCTTGTAATATTCTTTAAAACAAACGAAATTGAGACCAGGCTAAATTAGTTCATGTTCTCTTAGTTTTGAATTACTCTTCTGCTTTCAAACAGAAAAGATGGCAGGTAGAACATTGTTCTTGTGAACGTTGTACCCAAAGTTACAGGTCAGAGTAACCTCAAAGCCTCCTGAGCCCCCCCGCCCCCCCCTTTCAAATTACAAGTGAGCAAACTGGCTCAGGGATTCTTGGCCTTACCTAAGAGTACACAGGAGCTAAGACTAGAATCTATGGGCCTGGACATAGGAAGGTCTGAGGACTGGTTCTGTAGACTGCACTTCTGGCTCCACGCGGGCCTCACTGCTTTCTGGCTTCCCTCTGAACTGGACAGGCATCTGTCCACTCTGAGGCATGTGCCCTCTGTACCAGCACTCTAATGACAGTATCCGGGTTTGGGGTGGGTCACTGTGAGGGTCGTCTAGCTGGCTGACGGAACATTTCTGGGCTCGCACCTCAGATATGCAGGCTCATTGTTTGAGCCTGATTCACAAGGTGGGTTGGAATGCTAAATGATGAATTTACAGTAGGCCCTTAGACTCCTTCACCAGATGACTGTCAGTTAAAGGGCACGGTCCTTAACAGTTGTGAAGGGAAACCACTGTTTGTCCCTTGTTGAGGCTGGTCAGTCCTGTCCACTGATTGCTTTGTTCCTGTAGAAGAGCACCTATCCTAAAGTACCAGGTCTCCAGGCGCCTTTTGATTAGCCAGGAGTGTTTGTTGTATAGGTGCTGATTTCAATTCTCCGGCTGGTTTTGGTCGAGTATAGAGCAGTCATATTTTGGCCTGACACCGGCAGCCTCGGCCTCACAGAGGGAGCAAACGCTGAGCAATACCCAGGGGCAAGGGAGGCTAGGAGCTTAGCTCTTCTGGTGTTTCTGGCTTGGCTCCCCAAGTGCACCGCGATCTACCCCTGTACCTAGTCTGAATGCTGGCAGAGGGACCGACGGAAGCCGGAGGTCAGAAGCCAAGTGCCTTAGGCTTCTGTGCTTCCAAACCTCGGTCACCTGAATCTCCAGGGTTGGTGATAATAGCGGAATTTACTCCCTCTGGCTCTCAGAACCAGGTATGCAAGTTCCTCGGCCTCCGGCGCCTGCGGATCAGGAGGGGGTGGGGCTGGAGTGGGACGTGCGCGGAAGCCTTCGGCCGAGGGGCGGAGCCGAGCGTCAAGGATCTGACTTCAGCCAACCTTAGGCGGGTGCACTAAACCGGTGCAAATTTTCACCATGACAATGATCCTGGGTTACTGGGACATCCGCGGGGTGAGGAACGGATACTCCCGGTCGGTGGGACGGGGATATGATGGAGAGGAAATGCTGAGCATGTCGGGGACCGATTTTAGCAGTAGATTACTCTTCCGTGCTTTACTGGAGCTGAGCCCCATCCTGCAACCTGATCCTCTCCAGGCTGGATACTTTGGGTCCCAGTGGAGGATGGGGCGTACCGCGAGGCACCAGAAGCAGTTCTGTGGGGTTTTCTCACCAGTTCCTCTCTGGCGTGGGGGCACTGGCTAACCTGAAGGAAGTGAAACAGGTAGTCAGTCTCCTACCAACTGTGACCCCTTCTCATGTTGTCTCATCTAGCTGGCTCATGCCATCCGCCTGCTCTTAGAATACACAGACTCCAACTATGAGGAAAAGAAATACACGATGGGAGACGGTAATGGCACCTTTGCGTTGGTCCCTCTGTCAACTAGTGCTAATTTAGTACATGAAGCCCACGCTCTGGCCTCCAACAGCTGGATCTGGGCCTGCCCCTCTAGGGATCCATTTGGCTGTGCAGCTCTGGCCTGCCTATTGTGCATGCTGGGAAGGATCTGCTGCTCCCACCCTATCAATGACGGAAGTAGGGTTACCAATTAGGGCTTGCCTGAGCCTTTTGTAAGCCTTACTCTTGGTGTGAGACTTTGGCTCAGGGGGTCTTGCATGGACTCTGGAAAAGATAAGTTGGACCCTGAGAAAGTTTGTTTTCATTTCATTGTTTCCATCATAGCTCCTGACTTTGACAGAAGCCAGTGGCTGAATGAAAAATTCAAGTTGGGTTTCGACTTTCCCAATGTAGGTACAGAGTGTTGGAGGGAGTGAAAAATGTCTTCCTTTCTGTCTACCTTGTTTTCCCAGCTTGGAGTCTTCTGCTTACCTCTCTCATGCCTGGCTCTCTTTACTGCCTTTCCATGATACCTATGTTCTGGATCATGCAAGTGCTGTAGTGCCACCATGGGCCAGGCCTGAGTGTGCCAGGTCCCAGCTCTGTCCTTGTTTAGGGGAAGGGGGTACCGGAGAACCTGGTGGTAAAAGAGACCCACCTGTTGCTTTTGCAGCTGCCCTACTTAATTGATGGGGCTCACAAGATCACCCAGAGCAATGCCATCCTGCGCTATATTGCCCGCAAGCACAACATGAGTAAGTGGGGCTGGTGCAGGTGTGGGTGCATAGGAGGCCAGGCAGCCGTTCCCTGAGCTTGGCTGGGGTGGGATGCTGAGGGTGAGTGTTTGATGTGTGGGCCGCAGGTGGGGAGACAGAAGAGGAGAAGATCCGCGTGGACATCATGGAGAACCAGTGTATGGACACCTGCATGGAGCTGGCCAGGGTGTGCTACAGCCCTGACTTTGTGAGTTCCCAATGGGCTGGGTCAGGGCAGGGTCAGGGCTGGGTCAGGGCTGGGTCAGGATTGGGAGTTGGGACTCTTGCATTCCCATCTACATTAGTTGTGTTTATCATTTGAACACATTAGAGCTATGGATCCTTCAAAGGGTCTCCTATACAGAGTGACCTTCATAAACCTAAATATCATCAAATAAAAATTCTGAATCCATTATCTCAGCTATTAGGATAAAGTATAGATTCTCCAGTGTAGAAATTAAGTTCCTCAATGTTTGCCATTACCTTGTTTCCCGTTATCTTTCCCGTGACCTCAACAGGGTTCCCCTACATGTAGTTTATTAACCACACAGCGCCACACACAGTATTTCTGTTTCTGCAGGAATGCCTGCCTCACCATCAGTCCTTTCATCATTGCCAATTCTGCTGGTCTTTTAGGAGACTACTCAAGTGTCTTCTCCATTCTTGTTCCTTCCCATAGGCTAGAACTTCTACCTCTTTCCCTGAGCTCTAGTACTCTGTTTCTCTTGACACCTGAGTCGCACACTTGGCCAGGGGCTCACAGCACTCCTAGGTCTGACTGGTAGGTGGGTTGATGGAGATCAGTGGGGACAGAATCCAGTCAGTGTTATTTTCCTCTCTGTTCCTCATGCTCTGACATGAGGTTGAGATATAGTTGTTGTTGTTGTTGTTGTTAGGTGCCATTGCGTCAGTACCGACTCCTAGTAAGCCTATGCACGACAGAATGAAGCACTGCCCGATCCTGGGCCAATCTCACAATCGTTGCTATGCTTGAGCCCATAGATGCTGCCATTTTGCCAATCTATCTTGCTGGAGGTCTAGGACATGGTTATTGTTGTTGTTAAGTGCCATAGAGTCGGTTCCGACCCATGGTGACCCTGTATAGAGTTTCTGAGGAGCAGCTGGTGAGTTTGAATTGCCGACCTTGCAGTTCAAACAGCTTTGCAGTCTGGCGCATTAAACCCACAGCACCACACCAGGACTCCTGGACATAGTTGTTATTGTTGTTAAGTGCCGTTGAGTTGATTCCGACCCATAGTGACCCTATATAGAGTTTATGAGGAGCAACTGGTGAGCTTGAA